ACTSTGCAGATCTCATCACACAATTGCACATGAAGTCAGATGATAATTATTCTGGGCTATCATGTCAGATATCAGAGCAAAATGTAATGAAGTTAAACCACTTGAGCCTTCAACTGCTGAGGACACCAGAAAAGACTTTTAAAAGATCCTAAAGTTTTCCTTTGAGTTAATTAAAGTAACTAGTTTCATAGCTGTTGGTTGAAAACACAAATACCATTATTTTAGAACAATTATTTCCACTATAATGCTATTTTCTGTATCAGTGTCAGATTCCTGAGTTCTTTGCTTGAACAAGCGGTGTTATCAGCACCAGAGTCTGTCAAAAGAAAAGAACAAGGGATTTTTTAAATGGTGCCTTCAAAACTTTGGTGTCAGCAATATTAATGATCCTGGAAAAGAACCCTGGAAGACTGCAGCTATAATTTCTCARGCATTTAAGATCCTAACAGTTTCAAATATGTTTGCAGCTGAAGAGACAGCCTCCCTTGCCATATTTTTTCTTACAGAAAATCTGTCCCTYTTCCAGAAAAACACTCCTGAAAACAAAATTCTTACATCTTTGTCTCACAGTCTCTGAATATCCATCTAATTTTAAATGCCAGTTTGCTCTATAACTCAGTATTTAATCTAATATTCAGTACTGTCTGACCAATATATTGTATGCCTGTATTCTGACAATGTCTGCTGTTCCTGAGGCAAAGATACTGTATTACTCAAATCTGTTTAAAAGTAAGTGATAATAAAAAAATGGTAATAATAAGCAGTATTTTTTTATAAATTTACATTTCTGATTTAAAGAAGGAAAATATATACTGTTTGATAGTAGATGGCTTAAGACTCTCAAAAATGCAATAAAATATACCAGTTTTGTGATAGAATTATTTTTCTGCTCTTAACTATGTCCTTCACATTATCTTTGTTTTGTTTGTTCTTTGTCTCATTTATTTGTTATTGTGGTCTTTAAGTGCTCTTTGTGAACTCAGTGCATGATCAGAATGACATAAAAATRAAATTAGCACCCATTTAATTTATCTCCTTAGGCTTGTCTCCTCAGAAATAAGTCAAGGGCAGGATTCCAATCTTCAAGAAATTTTGTTATTCCAATGGTTTTCTATTACCTCTCATTAAATAATCCAGTTGAGTGGATTTTAGCCCTRTTCATTTTGCTGTCACCAATACAGATTTCATTTTTTGTGTTCATTTTCCAATAGCTTTGATTCTTATACTGTTTATCAGAACCCAGAGACAGTCAACAAGTTTGTTGAAGGAAAAGGAACCTTTTTCAGGGTGAGAACACAAATCAGGTGTCCTTGCTTAACCCTCTTTGCCTTAATGTGGAAGATTTAGAGCAGAAGACACTGCTATTAAAAAAAACACCCACACCATTTTTCTATTAAAAAATACCATTGTTCTATTAAAAAACCCAAAACTCAACAGCCAGATGCTCAAAGAATATTGATAAATTCTTAGTTTGAGGTTACATTTATGACCTACTTTTGCAGGTCTTAAAAACTGATATATTCTGTACTTTACTCATCATTAGTACATCAAAAATATTAACCACTAGAACAAGTAGCTTTGGATTTCCATTGTTTTTTACATTTCTCAGTTGTGCTTCAGTACATTCATTTGAAGTTGGTGTCTTACTTAACGAGAGAAGGAAATAAATTGATACCTGATGTGTRTTCTTGCTTTCAATAGTATATTGTTTACTAAAAAGGGGTGAATGGTGTCACTTAGATATTCCAGGTAGCTAAACACCTGAGACTCAATTAAAGTTCATGGAAATGCATTCTGAGGGCAGAAAAACTCCCTCCCCCCACCCCCCCCCAACCCCCCCCAATTTATAAGTTAATATGGGGAGCCAAGGGCAAATGAGAGGAAGAGTAGGTTAGAATAATAGTTGACTTAATTTCAGAAGCTTGAAGAAATAGTGAATAAATTAGGCTGTTAAAATTAATTTTGTTGCAAGTTGGCAGGTGATTACCTCAGCACAGGTAATTAATTCACTGAGTTTTAATAAACTGGAATTAGAAGCAAATGAGAAACATCTCCTCCTAAAGCAATGGGGAAGATGTGCCCCACTATCTCTCGGTGCAGGCAGGGTGACACACTGCAGCTTTCCGTGAGGGATGGRCCACAGGGTTTGAGTGATGCTGCTGCATGTGCAGGAGGGTGAGGGGAGCTGGTGCTCCCTGGCCAAGGAAGAGGAGGAGAGGAAGGAGCAATAGTTCATAACCTGGTGAGAAAGAAATAATGCTGGTATATACTTCCTAAAATTAGACCTATTCACTAGCCYGTTTAATAACAACCTTTGGCGAAAATGAAATTTTGTTTCTATTTGGAAATTGGCTTCCCAGATACAGTGCTTTCCCAGGCAGAACGSCATTGTTTGTTTATCTATTTATCAAAGAGGAAGAACAAGGAAGTACATAAAAGCCAGAGTTCCAGTGGAGTATTGGACAACTGAGCTGAGCCCATGGCTGTGCCCGGGAGGGAGCAGTTGTGTTTGCAGGGAGGGAGGCTGAGTTCACTGCAAGCRCTGCCTGCACATGGATCTGTCACCACCATCCCACAGCGGTTGTTAGGTGATGTTTTGAGGCTGATTTGCATCTTTCTGATGGCATGTGGTGTAAATACACTGTTATATCAGTGACACAGACTTACCATTGTTGTTCATTAAAGACCCCCGTCTGCCACTCAGAAGAGTTAGAGATAATCAGCAGTCATATATCCCACCTAGAGCTCAGCTGACTTTCATAAAACTTGCTTCTCTCTTCTCATTTTGTGCTCTACATGATCATTAACATTTTCATTACAGTTCTTTCTTCCACAGTAGCCATGTCCACACTTGTCTCAGATTATCATCATCTTTTTTTCAATATAGAGGATAAATTATGAGTTAAATCCTACAGTGTGCACTCAAGTCAAGCATAAGAGTTAGCAATGTTTTGACCAAAGAGATCAGGAGTTGTTTGTGCATGCATTATTTATAAGAGAAATAGTATATTCACATTTTTTTCAGGGTAATATTGTGTTTTTACCTATGCAGTTCCTCCCTAAAAGATTCTGCATTATTCCTCAAAAGTAATTTTGTTGTCCAATTCTTGCTGCAACAGAACTCTCTAGCTTTTGCAAGAACATTGATAGGAAAGCAAATTAAAATTGCATAGTAAGAATTCATAACATATGAACCAGCCAGTTAAAGAAAGAACATTTATGAATTTTCTGTTATATTTATTCCGTGTTGCACTGCAGAACTTTCATTTTAACTAAGTGGGTTGTTTTTTTTTTTCTTTCATATACAGGAAATACTGCTATTAGTCAGGTTTTAACTGCATAGATTTTATGAATCCATATACCTTGGGGACACCTAAACATAAGAACTAATGGCAAAGCCTAGGATGGAATAACTAATGCATTTTCAGGATCTGTTGTTTTTTTCCAGTTTACGTTACTTGTTGTTGTTTTTTTAAATTAAGAGCAGTTCTCTTGCATATAATTATACAGAACCCCTTTCCTCTAGATTWAAATAGACAATTTGACCCAGGATTTGAAGACAAGAGGTTTGTTACATCTSTAAATTCATAGCAGGAAATCATTGCATTTTGATTCTTTAAGTGCATAAATATTTGAAAGTTGAGATGTTGATGTCAGGTAATGCCAATATCAGCTGGTATCAGCTATCAGCTATGTGTTCACAGTAACTATGGAGAGACTGTCAGCTACGTATTTAAGATAGATATTGGAATGAACCAGCACACCTGATTTCAGATATGAATCTGGAAAAATTACCACAGAAAATTCAAACCAAAACATATTTGAAAGTAATTAATAATTTAAAATTAACTAAAAAACAAGCATGTTGTAATATATGGGTGTCATATATGTCATATCCTTCCTGTCAGGCTTGAACCAACAGTGTATGCAAGCACATATATAAAACTAGGAACATGCTTTTTTTTTTTCTCCTTAAATAGTTTGCTCAACTGAGATTTTAGTAAAAGTTCTTGCCYAGCCTTAATAAAAGGCTAAGTGTAAGGTGGTTATTAGATGTGTATGATGCATAAAGAAATAATCATCAAGTAATATCTACATTTTTCATTTTTTCATGAATTTACATCATTGATGTTGGGGGTGTGAATTATTTTTTCTTAAATTGTGCTATGGATTAATTGTGCTAAGGATAGGCTCAACATTACTGGTGTGGCATTGTTTCTGGGGTYCTATGCAGACTGCATTTTATAGACTGCTACTGGCATTTTAAGCAACACAGTGGAGGCCAGATCATAATTTATGCGAAGAAGCTCATTTTTGCAAGCTACAATGTCAAGTTTAATTAAGGGCTAAAGTGRCAAAAGAAAGCAAATTGCATGTGCTCAAAATACTTTTCAGATGASAAATTACTCATACCCATAAAAACAATATCCAGGGTAATTGTTAAGGTTATGGGTTATGATACTGAAACCTGCCTAAAAATATCTAAGGCAGTATATTTCAAGAGGTCACCATGCCATATGATTTAAATGAAAAATAAAAAAAAAATCAAATTTAGATTAATAATCAGGGTCTTCATGGAGGGAAATAAAGTATAACTGGCAATTAGGAGCATTTGTATCCCTGCTTTTCTCTGTTCTGCTAAGTGAGATTTTATAATCAGTAATTTTGTAACTGGTTTACCAGAGAATAACTTTGTGATGATCCCTGATCAAAGTAAATGTGTAGAGAAAAATCTGCCGGCATGATTTATTTTGCGTCTTTGTCCCTGCTCGGAACACTCAGTGTTTGGGAAAACAAGTCAAAACCTCTTCTGCTTAATCCCCATCAACATTTCTCTTTGTTTTTCTCGCTCTTTGTGGCCACCACATCATAAGGGGAGGAAAGGGAGAGTTGATGCTAAGGATAAAGGTCAAGATGATAGAATATGACAACTCTTTGAATTGAAAACAGAAATGAGTGTCCCTAAGTATTCAGCATGAGCTTCTCTTTGCTCCCTGCAGGGCATCTGCACCACAACCACCGCATTTTTACACTTCTTCTTCTTAGCTTCATTCTGTTGGGTTTTGACAGAAGCGTGGCAGTCATATATGGCTGTTACTGGAAAAATTAGGACACGGCTGATAAGGAAGCGTTTCCTGTGCCTTGGATGGGGTAAGTCAGTAAAATTAATTTCCTAGGAATCATTGGAATGAAACATTTAATGCAGTGGCAATGTCAAGAATGTCATCATTTTCTTCAGTAAAAATGAAAGATAGCAGATAGCATGTTACTAAAAGGAAATCTAGGTTAGAAACTTTTACACTGCAACTTAAGCTCAAGGTATGCTGGTGTACATTGTAGCATCCTTTTATAAGTATGTTTTAACAGAATTTCAGATTTTCAGCAAAGTAGCGTAATATCAAGAAATCAAAATGAAGCAAGAAAAAAAAAAACATTCTCTGAATATTCATGAAACCTCTTTCTAGTTAAGACCTGTCAAATGTACCATAATTTTGCTACGTCAAAGCAGTACATTGTGGGCAGAAAACAACGTCCTCCTCCCTGCAAGTGCTTCAGAAAAACAAACCTTACAATAGCAGTGTGCTTCATTAAATAATTCGTTCCATGTAAAATTGTCCATTTTGCATTAGCTTGCCCTGTCATTTTTTTGTCCAGGCAGAACAGCAATATTTTACTCTTCATCTAATGATTATTACTGTTTTGGTTTTTTTCAGGACTGCCAGCATTAGTGGTTGCAATATCAATAGGCTTTACCAAGACAAAAGGATATGGAACAGCTCACTAGTAAGTCAATCTGAAATGATAAATTATGTTTTTAATAATCAAGATTGTCATATCCATCAGGAACTGCATAGCATACTCTGAAGTCTCTACAGGTATCCATTCACACTTAGAATTGCCCTGAGAGTCACTGAGTGATCCACAAAAGAACAAAGAGAAAACAGCACACCAGTCTTGGACTGAGCTCAGCAAAGCACCAGGAATCCTAGATTTCGTTTGAGATTTTGAAATAGCAGGCTTTTATGAAACACTGAGGTCCAGGTCCACTTAGACACCTTACATTTATATATATTTACAAAAGAGAGTGTTAAATGTTATGGGTAGCCCCTGTCAGCCTTTAAACCTGTCCAAAACTGCRCTGGCAAGAGTCTCTTTGGCAACCAGGTTTGTGCACCAAGCAGGTACCTTGACTTCAATGCCCCTGAGCAGCTTGGAGCCAAAGCCCTTCAAACATCTCAAAACATCTCTCCCATCCATCCCCTCTCGCCTGGACAGCCTGATCCTGCCCATTTCCTGGACTGTGCTGCATTTGGGAGACAGCAAGGAGGAAATCTGTGTGCTTCATTTACGTTCAACTAATACAGTTCCTGTTCAGCCATCTGGCTGGTTACAGTCTGTATTTAGCACCTCAGAAAATTAACTCCTCAGGGAGGCCACCTTTTGGTCTTCTGATGAAGAAGGAGCTGAGCCTTCCTCCAGCCAGAGGAGTGCTCCAGCCACCATTATGTATGCGAGAGTGTGTTTCCTTTGGTCAGCCTGTTTGGAGCTCTCCTCACGTTGCCKAAGAAATTGAGGATGCATCTGGACAGAAAGAGAGGAAATATGACTCTGTAGGCTGGTAATGAGGGCATTCATCAAAGATGTGGAWGAGTTAGGTCAAGTCCTCGCTTCAATGAATATTTAATTATTCTCCTTAGCATCATCACTGAGTGAGATCAGGATTCCCCCTCCCTTCCCTGTGTGTGTCACCATCTTGGCACTCCAGCCCTGGGTGGGTAAGAAAGAATTCAAAATCAAATTGCCTCCTGAGTACTGACTCCAACCACTAAGCTTTGTAGTTTTAAACTGTGACAATGTGCATCTTCAGATTTTTTAATGAGGAATGTCTTATGTAACTGAAGTGCTTAAACTTCACTTAGAGCTGCAAGTGCAACAGTGATTTTAGCCCTCTTTTGARTGTTGTATTGAGAATCTACTCCTCTGAATTTTTTTAACTATATACTCATCTTGCTGGCTTTTTTTATTATTTAATCATTGAACCACAGCTGAAAAACTATGTAGGCTGTGAGAATTACAAATCACAAAATAAAAATGTCCAGACCCCATTGGGGATGTAGCTCTGTTCCTTGCAGGATTAATCCCATTCCTTTTCTCTACTGAAATCATTCATGCGTGATACTTGCTTTAGTTAGCATTGCTTCCTGCTTCCTTCCTGGGCTGAATGCATTTTTAAAAGGGGATGTTCTGAAATATTCAGACAAAGCAACAAATCATTCATTAAGAGTAAYCTGGAAAGTAAAAAAGAGCAGATCTCTGTACATGTAACAGCTCCTCTCCCAGGATCCAAATCCAGCTGACATGRTACCATGGGAGAAAAGAACAAATGAAAGCGTACAAGGGACAAATTGAACCATAATTCAGCTTTCTCATCTTATTTGYGAATATATTTTCCTGGCATTTGACATCAGAATTACATAAGGAAAACAGTGAAGACAAGGAATGGAGATTCCTCCTCCATCACCAGCTGATGTGCTGTCCCACTCCAGAMGGCAGCAAAGAATTGCATCTCATGACAGCTGTTGGGCAGTGTAAAAGCAGAGCTCTTGTCCTGCTCCTCCTACCATAACTGAAGCACTTGTGCAATATTTTTAATTGCTTACACTATATTTTGTTTGGCTGCAATCAATTGCACACATGCTGCTCTTAGAAGCACACCCTGTTGCAAACAATTCATGCTCTGTAAGATGCTCATTTTGAAAATGAAGCTTTTAAGTGGAGAACATTAAAAGTGAAAATTTGGGAATTTATTCCAGTTCCATAGTCCCACACATGAAGAGATTCATAAAGAGGGAGAAGAATCTTTGCAGGAGCTCTCAGTTTAGGGTAGTATATATWTGATGGGAGTGCTTGAATTGTTCACACTGGAGCCATGTCTGTGATCATCAGTCTCTGATTTCTATCTTTTTCTGAGTYCTAATATCAGACAGTTATATTTCTGTACATTTAAAACTAAGTATGAAAAACATTTCATGCAGACCCTTGTAGTGATATAGATACAGAAGCTGAAGGGATTTCCTAAATAYAATTTAAAAGAACACAGAGACAAGTTTTCAGATGTTATCTGGGAAAGATAAGTGTGCCTGAAAGCTAAATAGCTTTTTCCAGCCATTTCTGTAATAAATAWTTTTGGTGTCTCTTTTCAGACACTCAGTGCTATGAAAGCACCACTACTAAATCTTTTAGTTARTAAACCTGCATGAACTTCTCATGTTAACATACAGTGCAGATAAGTTCTAGGAATTTATTATATCAACAAAAATTAAAATTCTGTCATAACCATGCTTTTGCCATGCTCTCTTAAGAGAAGAAACCATTCACCTGGAGAGCATCAAACAACCYACAAAATGTACAGGACACAGGAGCAAGTGTACAGATGCTTCATCACTCAGCAGGATTTTATGACCRTGTAACATGGTCCCATAAAGCCACCAGTGGCTGCTCTTCATCCTAATCAATTTATATGGCTTTCTGCTATGTGCACATCAGGGAGAAAAGACAGAACAGGAAAACAAAATAAAAACAGCTATAAAGCACAGAAAAAAGCTGTCAGAGCAAAGAAAGAGGAGAAGGAAAATGCAGTAAAAAATTGACAAGACTTTTCTTGTGGTGTAAGCAGGCACCTGAAAATCTATCTTCAGAATGTATTCAACAGAAAAAGATTGGGGAAAAGGAATTTCAGTCATCAACTAAGAGATGTGGAATACATTRCAACAATGATGTCACACACTTGTGAAAATCCAGAATCTTGAAAATTCAGATTGTGTGAAAAAGAGGTTAGGGTAAAAAAGCACAACCTCTATATTTTTTTCCAGCTCTGCCTCTAAATGGAAACCACTCTTTTGAACAGCCTTTTCACTTGAGGACATGGAAAAGGGGCAATTCTCCCTTGGGACTCAAAGAGTTTTGTGCTAGAAATTGGGGTTTTAATTTTTTATTTAGAAAAAAAACCCTCTTGACCCTTTTTTCAGCACAGGTAACTGAAATTATGTTCAAACCAAAATGCATCAACTTTTTTTTATGAACTGATGCTTCTGTCTCCCAATAAACAGGAAAATTTTAATTACAAATCCTGATTACTCAGAGTAGTCATCTTCACTAAGTTTAAAAGTTCATACTGTTAAGGAAGTACACTGTGAATGCTTTTCACCCCTCAGAAGTCTATGTTCCCAGACTGACAATAACAACCTAGCTTTTGAAAAAGTAGTAAGAAAAACTGCAGAAAATTTGGAAAGCATTTTTCTTTGACATTGAAAAAATAAATTGAACATTCATGTTGTAATTGGTTTTTGTGGTAGGATGTAGACTAGCTTGGCATGTATTACCTTTTCAACAGTGAAGAAGATAGGAGCTATTTGAATCCATTTACCATTCCAGAATTTAGCACTCYGGTGCAGTTGGGTTCATGTGACAGTTTTCACATGGATTCATTGCACTGGGAACCACTTTTATTCTTTGCAGTGAGAATACCAGCCCTAACAGACCATTATGATATGCTTGCATTTAAATCACTTGGTTTTGAAAAGTACAAAACCATTACTGGAAAATAAAGAAGAAATGTGTAATTCTGATGTGAATGTCTCTGGATGTGAAATGCAAGTAAATTATTTGAATGTATGTGCTTGAGTTTTCTTATATGTAGGTGTGATCATGCATTCAAATAAACATGCTGTTCTCTGAATGTGTAATCACTGAGAAAATAGCACAGCTGCATTTACTTCAGTGTGTGAAGCTCCTGATCTTTTGCAGATATGAAAAGCTTTACATCACAGTGTATCAAATATTTAGAATTTGATTCTGTAAGTGCTCTGTGTTTGGTTTTCAGTGAAAGCCCTAATGCAGAATGACAAACTCTCTGAGATTAGGAGGTCTCCRGAAAACACAGTTTTCAGATGCTTTAAAATATACATTTAAATTGTTTTCAAAATATTACTGAGAATACAGAAGAGCTAGATCATATATCTTATATGATTTTTCTCTAATGGAAATACTGTCTGTAAGATGTAGTTACAAAAGCAATTATTCAATGACAGGATATGTAGAAACCCGGTGGGATTTTTATTTTTTGAAGTTCTATATTACAGATATTTGACCATYTCATCACTTTTAAGTATAGAACTATCAGATATGGTAAGCTAGAAATGTGTCTAGATACCTCCTTGGCAAGGCCTGTTCAGTTAACTCATTATACATGGTTAGAGGAGATTCAATAAATATTTGCAAACTTATTTTCTATTGTGCTCTTTATACRTTTTGGGCATTGCAGTTTATGTATATAATTCACGTTAAAGATTTTGAAATGTTAACCACAGGTAGTGGCAAAGTCTTTCAGCTCTCTACATCATCTTAYCAACAAAGCAATTCTGTTTTGTGTGTGCATATAAATCCCATACATCAGAATAATAYGCTGTGCTAGTTATTAATGCTTTCTTGTGTTATACTTATTTTTAATTTGTGTTAGTTCTTCTCTAATGTTCTTTCCAGCTGCTGGCTGTCTCTGGAAGGAGGGCTACTTTATGCTTTCGTTGGACCTGCAGCTGCTGTCGTCTTGGTAAACATTAATAAAATTTCCAGTATTTTTGTATGAAATGATTGAAAGTGCTATTTCAATTAAAAAAGCTTAGCTATAAAGTAACATTGCAYTTTGCTGTAAATACTGAGATCACTGTTGTTTAACACACCTTCGGTATTTTGAATGCATGATTAATTTGATTATATCACTTCTTTATACCAATTATCTCTCCATGTTTACACAGTAAGCTGTGAAAGAATAATGTACTGATTAGTGGCACAGAGAACTTGTTACAGGCATCACTGAGTTATTATCAGCAGCATCTACGCAATTGTCAGTGCCTTGTGAAACTCAGTGACAGCCTTGATGGAGGGCTGCTTGGCAGGGTATTGCTGTGCCAGCAAAAGCAACAGAAGGAGTGGAACCTGCCAGCGAGTTCTCCATGGCTACTGCTTTTGAAGGCAAAGAAAAAAGTTGTCATAGCTGGGAAATGTTACTTGTTTGTGTATTAATCTTCCATGTCTCTGGACATGCGTTTAGGTGTAGGATTCACTTCTGMCTAATTATAGACATCTGCAATGTAGATTTCTGCATCTAAGCTAGTTATCCCAGCCCTGTTTCATTATCAGTGRAGAAAAAGACATACTTCTAGAGATCAAGCCATCAGAAGTGTTTCAGACATCGACTTCAGGGTACAATGAATTACATCCTACATCACCTGCTCTGCAGTCTKTATGGATTTTTCACAACAATTTATTTAGCATTTTTCCCTTACAGATTTTGAATCTATTTCCTCTTTCCACTCCACCTATGRTAACTCTATCAGCACCGGTTATTTCTGGTTTTCTCTTGGAAAAGGGAATCAGTTCTACTAGTAGTCAAAGATATAGCTATTCAGCTACATGAATTTTCCTGAAATGGATGTTTACTACTCCCATGGAGTTTGTCTCATCATTGCCTGGAGACARGCCAGGATCCTTTTGTACAGCTCACAGTCCCTGTCATGGTAGAGTAGCCAAAGATGTTTACAAAAAGCCAGTTCTAATTTTCGCATGGAAGTAACTGTATGTTCTCTGTTTAATTGGCAAGCCTTTGTTGGAGATGTTTGAAGTTCACAGTCRCAGTTTGCCCTACCATTAGCTGGTAGCTGTGGAAGGAGCTGTTCCATGCAGCCACTTAAGCCTAAGTGTATGAAGCCAAAGAATTATATAACAGCAGCTGAAAAATGTTAATGCTGAAAACAAAGTTGAAAAAGACTTGGCAGGGAAGACTAGTAACAATTAGGTATTTTGGCACAGGTGTTGAAAAAACAGTTTGAAAGGGAAAAAAAGGGATTATTCTTTTTAATAAATTTTTAAAAGGAACATTTATTTKATAGATTTAAAAATTGGTATTACCTCTTTGCAGGGCCATGCAGAGACAGGTTCATAGAGTTCAGCTCAATAATACAAATGGATAATAACAGTCATTAAGTTGTCCATTAAATGCCATTAGTATGTCCATTAAGTGCCACAGTGTGACTGCTGAAACACTTGAAATTTTTTTAGGTTAGATCTTCAATCCATGTATGTGATCATAACACTATTTACTTTAATATAGTTAAACAGACATCCCAGAAATTCATCTGGTCCACAAAAATAGTAAGCTGCAGCCAAAAAAGGCTCCAAACTGACATTTTGGTGAATAACAGAGACAGTGATTAATGTGCAGGAAGGTATGGAAAACCACAGGCTGGTTCTGCATAAGTGGGAACACCCACATGGGCCATAAATGTTTGAAAAGGAACATGGTTACAGTCATCGAATGCTCTGACTAGCTCTTCCCTGTGCCATAACTCATAATGCAGTGGTTTTCCTGGAATAGGACAGATTGTTGCAATTAAAACTGACAAAAGATGAAAGTTCGATTACTCAAACTTCTGACCATCAGACGTGTATATATATAGCTTGATACCAGGTATAATTCAAGGTTCAAAAACRAGCCTGCTGCAGGGTGTGTGTATACACACCCTTTTGAAAACACAGCCTTTTGGTGCATTTGGGGACATTGCTACAAAATTTCTGAAGGAATACTCACAAATGTAAGAGGAGGCATTTTRCAGGCCTGTAAGAGCCTTTTYCTGAAGTGTGATGCAGTGTTTTCTTTCAGKCACTGAAAGATCAACTGTTTGTCTTCTGTTTGACAGGTCAACATGGTGATTGGCATTTTGGTATTTAATAAACTTGTTTCCAGAGATGGAATCCTAGATAAAAAACTCAAACACAGAGCRGGGTAAGCAATAATTGGGTTATTTTAAAGCATATTGAAATTTGATCACCAATTTTCAATTACAGATATTCATCAAAAATGCTTCTGATTGTGCTGTGGATTTTTTTATACCAGTGTAACAGTTTCTAACAGATTCCATTAATCTCAAAAGCTGCTGTTGCATTATCCTAAGGGAATGCAACTAAACAAACTAAACATAATAAAACACAAGTACAACAGTATTAAGTTATAAAAATGAGGATTAAACAAATCTGAGCACAGGTTTCGCARGATGGTTACATGTGTAAAGCTGTTGCTCTCAGGAAAACAGTTTTATGAACTGTGTGTACTGAAGGAACTGATTATTTTTGTCTAGCTGTCAAATTTAATTACTAAAGTAAGAAATGTTATGCATTTGTGTTAACTGTTACAAAATATATTTTACAGCAGTATATCCCTTTCTTAGGTCAGTGTTATTCTACCCTTCTGACTACATTAAGAATTTGCCTTTGTTCTTACGTTCACATAATACCTACATAGGTGTATTTTCTAAATTAGTGCAACAGAACATAAATTAAAAAAAAAACACTTAGGGTTTAAGAGCTAAAAAAGAAAAAGGTAAATGTGTGATTTTGATTATTTACTTGCATTTACATTAAAATTCTGGTTGTTATCATGAGAAGAAAAGATTATGAGGGTGGTGGTATTGGAAACTGTTTTTCACTGGGTGGCAGTGATTTGAAGTACTGCAGCAGCAAATCTAGATTAATTGAGTATTGGAGAAGAAATATTTCAGAAGAATCATCACCTTCCTAATGCTTATGAAAGTATATTTAAACTTTGAATAATGACTTTTTAAAAATTATATTTTCTAGTATTGTGTTTTGGGCCAGCTTATAGTTTAACTCCACCAATATTTGCATTTCTAACAATGATAAATGGTGGTATCTTCATTTTACTGTGTGTTACTGCTATGGGCAAATTTATTGCAGTTTCACTTTTAATTATTTTACCATGTAACTAACAGTGGTATTTCTAATAGTTAGGAGTTAGATGAGTACACTTATGATAAATACTTTAGCTGGTGTGATTTRCATTTCACATTAATTCAATTAACTCTCTGTTTTTCAGTTTCTTCCATCATCATCTTGACAAACACCTACCAAATCCATTARTTCTATTTCTTCTGTTTTCCTCTTTTTTTCATTAGAAATTATTAATTTCATAACCCTATATATGTCTACATTATTCCATCAATATTCTTAACTCTGCAATAACACTAGTGAAATCTAAAATATTATAAAACTACCAGATCATTACAAAAGTAACATTGACTTAGTAATCACCAATTCAAATTCACATATGCCTCAATTCCAGTGATATAAGGAGCTGGAACAGCCACAGGTTTGGGTTTGTACATTTTGTAAGGATATTCAAACTTAGATTTAACTTCTTTTTTTTTTTTCCAGCTATGCAGTTGTAGGCTACAGAAACCTATTTGTTTATACTTTGCTTTCCCCATGAAACAAATAAAGAACTTAATAAAGAAGCATTTCATTTTAAAACAATCTAGCCTTAAAATGAATGAATAAAGAATCTACCCTAATGAGAAACAATCTTAAGTTGTGTGATATTATGAGATAGTGGCTTGGCAACAGCATCCCTTCATACTACTTGGCAGATGACAACTCTCAAGTCATTCTTTGGGGCATAGAAATTGGTTCATCACTTGATCTCTCTAGAGAGGTGATTGTCACTCATTTCTCAAGTATCTTTTGCCAGCCATGTTCAGGAAGGCAACTTCATTCTTCYTGGCAAGCATTGGACTTACAGATGTCAAAAGCTCAGTCAAAAGTTCGGCTGTAGGATTTAAAACAAGTGAATGGGACAAAATATCCTAACTCCATATGCTTTCTATGACCTTAATAAGCATATGGAGAATCAAAAGAGTGGGAAAAAATACATTACTGGATCTCAATCATGATCTCAATCCTTTTCCTGGCAAAAGAGGAAACATATGCAAATGCCCAGGCTGAAAAATTTACATTTGGCTTATACGCACATTGAGTTCTATTATTATTTGCAAGATCCAGAGCAGTTTTACAGAGGTAAAGAGAATAATCCAGTCTAACAATGTTTAGCACTGGCAGGCAAAGACAGAAAGTACTTTTCCAAACTTGGTTTATACTTACCCAAGGCATTTTTTTAGTTCATTCTTGAATGTATATTTTTAATTGGTGACAACTGATAAGAATTCACTAAGTTATTTCCTCACCCCAATATCATCTTATACAAGATCAAGGTTTTCACTGTTTTCTAATGGAAGAAACTGCCTTTTTATGGAAAATATGCTGCACTTTTTAGTGGAAAATCATGATTTGGTTTATCAGTGGAAAACTCTGGAATTTAATGTTGCTTTGGACAGTGTGTTGAAAGTCTTGTGTGTGCTGGGTTTGGCAATAACAGAATTCAGTTGGTTGAAATAACTGGGATAAAAAGCAAAATGTTCTTATCACCACACAGATCACTTTCCAGTGGGAGTAGGTAAAATATCCTTTCTGTCAGCTATGTCACATCTAAGTCAGTTATAGTTATTCCTGATTCGTATAGCAGAAAGAGAAGATATAGGAAAAATATTTATTTAGTTGACTCAAGAAGCTGAATGCATGCTCTATGGAAAAGAAAACTTAAATTCCAAGTTTTGTGTTTTAACTCTTCTGACAGGTGCAGAGGTACAATTGTCTATACAAAATGCTTTGAGCTTAATGCTTGTGTACTGTGTTTTATTAAAAGGCAAAACACCCTTTTTTTAGTACCAACTGATATTTATTTCATCAGATTCCATACATTTCAAGCCCTGTATTCAGACCTTCATATGGCATGAATAAAATCAATCCAGATATTAGTGGGCATACTAGAGAGTATGCACATATTGATTTGATGCTGAAAAAATTTTGCAGGTTTCTTTCCTTGTTAATGCTCTGTAATGGTCCATAATTCACACTCTTTTAAGTGTCCTATAGTTTTTCTCAAGCATGTTTGGATGCAGCAGTCTTTCACCAGGTCTGAATAGAGGGATTGCACTTTGTGTGTCTATCCTAGCACGTGCTTATGTTTACTTCAGTGTACTGAGCAGTTTTGATCCCATTTGGGGCCGTTTTTAGATTAAATGTAATAAATAGAGTTTGCATGAAATTAAGCCCCATAGCATTAACATTTAAAGCTAACAATAATGTAAAGTATAAAATACCGTTTTGCAACATTATAGAGCATTCATCCTGAATAAGTCTACTTACTTTTTCTGCATGACATCATATTTAAAAGCTAAATTTCAGTAGCAACGTTTTTTGGTGACAATTCAATATTTTGTTCTTTTTGTGGGTGTTCTGTTTGTTTGCAGTCAGATGAGTGAGCCTCATAGCGGTTTGACGCTCAAATGTGCCAAGTGTGGAGTAGTTTCAACAACAGCTTTGTCAGCCACCACCGCCAGTAATGCCATGTTAGTCCTGATCATTTACATCTTCTTGTTACAAATCTTATACAGTGCATGTGAGACAATAGTTTGATGATGACAACTGTGTTTGCTAACACTGTATAAAGTGCTAAGCACGTTTAAATAGTTTTTTTTTTTTAAAATTGCAAATGTGTTTATTAACTGAATCGGGATATTCTTTAGAACATAAAGTGCAATTGTTACATTTTTGTCTATGATTTTCAAGTTAAATTGATAAAATTGCATTCTTAAATATGTTTTATTTTACTAGTGAGCTTTTAAATTTTTTTTTTTGCAATATTACAATTCTGCTTTTCTCTTTTTTTTTCAACAGGGCATCCCTTTGGAGCTCCTGTGTGGTGTTGCCACTGCTAGCACTGACTTGGATGTCTGCAGTTCTGGCCATGACAGACAAAAGATCAATATTATTTCAGATACTTTTTGCAGTATTTGATTCATTACAAGGCTTTGTTATTGTCATGGTCCATTGTATTCTCCGAAGGGAGGTGAGGAATGGCTTCCCGGTTTTCCAAAGGGCTGTGCTCCTGTTAATMTCTCAGCTTCTCTTTAATGTTATCTACAGCTTGCTCTGCAAAAATACATTTCCTGGAAAGAGAAAAAATATTTTTTGTGATGAGATGTATAGGAACAAGTGAAAGTGGAAAAGAGAAAAAGTGAAAGAGAGGGAGAAGATCAGTTAATTCCAAGTGCAAAATAGCAGCACAAAACTTTGCCAACTTAGTTCAAGGTGTCTTTTAATCAAACCCAAGTACTGTTTATTTTTTTTTAAGTGTTAGTCTTTCCCTATGAGTATAGGAAAATAAGAATATGAATGCCCTTCTGGAGAACAAAAGCTGCAGGTTTTTACACTCTCTAAAACAGATTCAAATGCAATTTTTTTTCTGCTTATACTGTCCCTGAAAGAGGGCACAGGGAGATGACSTGTTCTGTTGGTGAAGATCTACCATTTTAGATCCACAAACTCAGGTACATTCTAAAGTTATGGGGACAGCAAGGATGAAGACAGAAGAGTGCTCTGAGAACAGCAAGGACGAGCAGTACCCTGGCCTGCCCTTCACAGCTCAGTGCTACCTGCCTCAGGATTCATCACCACTGAAATCTGGAGGCAAAGCTCTTACACAAGTGCTCTTTAATCTGGCTCTGGTGACAGCTTCTCTAACCTGCCTAACCTGCTAACTAACCCCACATTTTATTGAGATGGGCTTAAGAGCAGTAGCATAACAGCTTTGTTAGCAGATCTGTGGTAATGGGGTCCTCCATCAAAAATGAGCAGCTGGAGCTGGACTGGAGAGTAGTTCCTGGTGCACAGGCACATCAATGTGCTAGTCATTTATCAGCTTCAGGATATTTACCACACCAGTAAACCAAATTACACTACCCAGCATGTTTCCCTGGGATGGACAAAAGTTATTTGAAAGCACTTCAGGACTAAAAAAAGACAAGGAAGATATTTCAAGAAAGGTTTATAGTCAATGCTGAGTAATAAATCTCACACAGGGGTTGCCCTTTCCACCACTGACACCCTTTGAACACTGAAACTCTAGCATATTAATGAAAAATAATTATGAGTGACATAATTTATTTGATTCTTTCAGTATTGTACCATTGCATGAGATTTATATCACTATCTTTCACAGTATTCATATGTGATTATTTTATCAAAGAATTAAGTTTTCAATTTTTAAAGCAAAAAATCAGCATCTTGCAGAAATTAACACCTTACATCGTGCAGATTCCTTCCTGCTTTAATCGTGTGGATTATGAACTTTTGCATTTCTTGGTTTATCAGCTCTCATATTGGAAGGGACTTACTTCATTTAATACCTTTTATTTTTTTCTTCCTTTGACTTTTCTTTTTGTTCAGGATAAAAATATGTACAGAATAAGAGAAAATACTCAAGAAAAATCTTCTTTTATGTAGAAATGTCTTGCAATCCYCTTATTTTCTTCAGCAGTTTCTTTCCCAATGTGATTTACATCTGTGAAAGAGAGTAGTCTGATCTGTAAATCTGAAAGCCATCTTCACATATTCTTYTAGTATAATGGTAAGACACTGCGTCTGTTATCAGTACAAAGAATAGTGGTTTCATACTGTTTTTTCTGTCTATGACATTTTTGTATCCATTGGGATATATTAATTAGCCTAGAAAAGGCATACCATCCCAGTTACTGTCCTAGACCATTCTTATTTTAAAAGACATACTTTTTGCTCAAGGTTGCATGGGAAACATTCAAAACCAAAGCAGAATGGACAGCATTATCTTTCACAGAGTCATAGAATATCATCAGGAAGGAGAGACCCATAGAATCATTGAAACCAACTCCCTGCACCTCACAAAATTACCTAAAACTAAACCATATGACTGAGTGTTGTCCAGACATTCCTCAAATTCTGGCCATGGCTTGGAGCCATGACCAAGTATGTTCCAGTGACAAACCACCCTCTGGGCAAAGAATATTTTTCTGATGTCCAATCTGAGTTCTCTTATTCATTTCATTTCCTCATGTTCTAATTCCATTTCCTTGTGTCCTAATTCCATTTCCTTTTATCTTTTGTAAGGATCTAAAGAGGCTGAAACATATACCTGGTTATCAGTCACCGGTTTTTAAAAAAAAAAACCCAAAATCTATAAGAAATTCTAAACGTAACTTAGCATAACAATGTCTAAAATAAAATAATTTAAAAAACAAAAAGCAGCAGTTAAGCCTGCATCACTGCAGTAATGCAAAAGCTTATTTGGAAAAATAATGTATTTTGACTTTTGATGAAAGAAGAAGACCAACAGACATCTTCCAAAAATGACCTAAGCCTTGAATTAAAGACAGCTTTCYTATTCTAATGACAGCTTTTTGCTGCAAATGCTTCATTCCCAGGGAATGCTTCAATAATGTTGAACATCTCATAGTAACATTCTTCTCTGACCATATTCACAAGCGACGGTGGTGATTGAGGTGGAATTATTCTTTTCTATATGTAAACTCAAAATTCAGATTTGTAGTATACCTTGACTGGAACCACTTTTAATTCACTGTTTCTAGTGTAAGCAATATGCAGGAATTCAGAATCTTCATTCTTTATTTATAGGCAATCAGCTAGTTATGGTTTCTTTTCTTCACTTTTTTATCAAATTACAGAGATATAGATGTGGATATATAGATATAGATATAAATTAGATATAGATATAGATAGMTATAGATAATTTAACTGAAAAGAACCTCTGTTTAACAACTAACAGAAGTTGTTCCAGCAAGTCAGTCTGAGCAGTTACACAACCCAGTTCTAACATGGAAATTCTAGAAGAAAGGCAATTTATAAAGCAGTCTAATAATCTATAGAGTTAGTATTTTTAAAAAATTACCTCATGAGAAGACTTGTCAGTGGGGCCCAAAAAACACTAAGGTTTGAAAAGGTTCTCCCTTATCAAAAAGGAGGAGGTATTTTTTCTCCAGTMATGAAAATGATGTAGATATTCAGTAGAATATCTCTAATCAAAATGATGATGGTGGTGTTGGTGGAAGACAAAGAAGCCTGGGCATATTGATGATTGAACTCTATTTGACAGAACACATTTAATCTTCTTCAGTCCTCCAGATTTAAATTGCAAACTGGTCAAAACACTTGAGGAATTAAGTAAGGCAATATTTTTATATGGTCAAAGAAAATTAATAGAAATTTCTTCAGAAGCAAAAGTAAAAGCTGATGCACTTGAATCAGTTTTAATTTCAAAAATGTGTATGGTCTGCACTTACTTGTTTCAGTTTGAAGCAGCAAAGACATAATTGTCTACTGCATGGGAAGGGATGTAAGCCCAGTGAGTTTTGTTTCAGTCTGGCTCTCAAGTGTGGCTTTCCAGCTCCAGAGACCCTTCAGAGAGTCCTGGCCAAGAGAGTGACCACCATGCAGGGTGGGCACTGCAGTCTGTGCCCTGCACGTGGTACCTCCCAGCTCAAATAATAGTCTGTTCCTTTTGGTTGTCTGCAAAAACCTTTAGCTGTGCCAGTGCCTGTCAAGGAAATCCTGCCAACATATTTGTCACTCTTGACGACAGCTACAAAGCTATCTCAGTTATAGCCTATAAGATTGATCTAATATTTATAGCATGCCAGCACGGGCAAAACAATAATTCTGACTGTCAGGGAAAAAAATTATGGGGAGGAATATATCACTATAAAATTCAAAGAGGACAGCCCTGCTTTAGTATGACTTTATTGTCATGACAGCACAAAAAGACACAGACTTCTACAATTATATATAAAAGGCCCTTTTTTTCCCTCTTTGTTATGTTGATATACAGATAAATGATGGAAACATTTGTTGTTTTCTCTAACTGAAAGATCTTGTTTGGTAGGAGCTGCATTAGGAAGACAGGGATTTTCACCAAGACATACAACTGGAAGAGAACTAAGTGTTGTGTCATCTATTTCTGTCCACCATCAGTTCACTGTCTTTTGGAAAGATGTTAAATCTTTCTATACTTCCATTTCTTAATAGAAAAAAAACTTCTAAAATAAATATAATATTTTTAGGCATAAGACCTTTCATGGACYGCTTGGAAATTTTTGAATAAGAAATCCAAAGAACTTAGATATTATTGCTTTATTTGCCTTCTTAGCCCAGAGTACCTTGAGTTGTTCTTTTTGTTTCCTCACCTTGCTGCTTAAACACCTAATTGGGCACTGGAAGATGCTGATGAATGTGTCACAGAACAGAGAAAAATACGAGGGGTTAGCGCTGAAGCTTATCTATCTCAGCAAAACAGTTTGCCTGATCTGCTTGAACACAAGATGCTTTCAAGCTGATTTGAATCACACATAGTAACTTATGTTAATGCTGGTGATGGGAGGAGCCCACACCTATTTTTTTCTTTAGCTGTGCTCTGCAGAGCAGAGAGCATTTGGATTAAATTCACCGTTGGCGTCTAAAGCCCACATTTCAGCATTGCAGGAGAAAAATACAAAGTACACGAGTAGAGCAGGGGTAAGTTATAAAAGCTTGGAGCTGGTTACTGTTGCTAAGGAAACTACTTCCCTGGTATCCGCACGTTCATCACATCTGTCTCTCCTGCTCTGCCTGGCTTTAAGAAAATCTTGTAACTTGATGCTAAAAGGCAGGGCAGGGGGAAACAAGATTATCTTTCAAAGTAAAATGTAAAGATAGCACAGTCTACATAATCAAACAGGTTTTGAACAAGCAGTTTAGAAGACTAAGCTGGCATTTAGAAAGTTCAACCATTTTAATTCTGATTTGGGTGAGGATATCTAGAAATTGCAGCATATGTCAGTATCATGGATAACACGTTTGACATTCTGTTAACATGCTCAAATCATATGCTGCTTGCACTTCGGAACACGAACATTGTAAGGAACATGAACATTTAAGAGGATCCTAAAATCAAGATTCACTGCTTTAAAGTAGAAGGCACTGAAAGTACAACATGAGATTCTTGAGATCTCTGGAGCTGTCAGAAGTGGAGAACCTCCATGAACACAAAGTCCCCAAAACGAGGAGGCTCACTGCACAGAGTACAGTGTTCTGAAGTAACAATGCTTTGGGGTCAAGAATCATATACCTTGAGATGAGATTCAGCACAGCTGGGGATGCTTTGAAGGAGGCATTTTTTATTTTTTTGTCAAATCACTGTGCCAGTGCTTATCCAAGAGTATAAAATTCTGAAGTGTGACCTAACTTCAGCATTGATAAAGTGAGAGAAGCCTTGGATTAAATTTGCAGCAACTGGGGGATGCCAAATTAAATTAACATCAAACACACGGAAAACCAAAGCAAGTGTAGTTCCTAAAATCAGAATCTGAGTCTCGATACAGCACACTTTAAATTACAGCGTATGGTAAGTCTCGGTGTTTTGAAACCAATCCAAACCTTCCCACCTTGCTTCATTCTTCTTTCTGCCCTATATTTGGCTCCTACCACCTTCAACAGTCACTTACCAAGACTGCAGAGCAGTCATTTAAGGACTGAGCCCTTTAAAGATATGCTTTCTAATTACAATTTTTTT